AACACATTGCACTAGCTCTAAGACCTGGCAGGAGGAGACTGATGTTCGTCATGATGACTGTGATCCTAGGCCAACTTAACGGATGTCCAGCCGACTTCTTCCAAGAAGTGGGGAGACATATAGGCAGACTGGATAGAAAGGATGTTTTGTAGTGTTACAGTGTTGCTATTGAAAAGTGTTGCCCTGTCTTCTTGGCTACATACTCGACACTGCAGACAGTGCCTGGTATCTCCTCGGCACTTAATAGTTTGTTTAAAAATGTAATTGTGTAACAGCACAGGGGGAAGATTCTGACCAGCGCCTACCCCACACCAGGCTCTGTTCTGAGTGTACTTGTCTTGTTCATTCATTTAGGCTTCTGATATCCGCACATGTCACTCACTGGATCACCTGATTCCCTAACGATAGAGCAAGGGAAACTCAAAGATGCCTTCTGTGTCCTCCCTCTCCTGTCCCCTGTTCCCAAGTCCACCACCTCCATCCTGTGTGAATCTAGGACTCTTCCCAATGGAGAGGCAAAGCCACGAAAGGAGAGGTGAGCGGAGGCTGTAAAGTCGGGTCAGGTTTGGAGAATGTGAACGCAGCTCTCTCGGGGGACTGCAGTCAGCAGAATTAAGGGGGCCCACCAGAAGGTGGAGGAAGGGAATTTAGGAAAATAAAAGGCCATCCTGTTTCTCTCAGCAGGGAGGAAGCAGATGGCTCTCATTACCTGGATAGTGGTGGGGCTCAGAATAGAAATACGCTCTAGAGCAGTGGGGGCGAATTCCGGTACCAGAGCGCTCAAACTCACCTGCGAGTTGGTGAAGGAAGATCCTAGGAGCTGATGCCTGGGCAAAGGCACAGGGGCAGGAACCAAGTCCTTGGCATCTCTGTATCAGCCCCTCACCCCCAAGACTCAGCATGGGGCATGGCGCAGAGTAGGCCTACACACTTGTGCTGGCCCTGGGCCTGCAAGAAGCCCCAGTGACCAGCCCTTGCACGGCCTAACCTGAGCCACGGGGGCCATGTGGACATCCGATGGTGCCCCCCACTATCTCTGCGTTCAGTTTTTCAGAAACACAATTACATGCCCTTCAGAGCTGCTGTCAGTGTTGGTAAACTCCAGCCACTAAACTACATTACACTGATTTTGCCAGAAACCTTTGCAGTTATTAATAGTTTATTGATCGGAGCCTATTGCTGATGAGAGTTGGTCTTCTTGCCCCAGCCCCCTCAGGGTCCTGCTATCTGTGCAAGGCCTTTTATCCAGCAAGCAGATCAATGCCACTCAGATCTAGGGAGAGATCTCGGGGCCACTTAATCCACTTTAGAAGGCTACCACTGAGCTCACAAGCTCAGATGAGGTGTTTGGTCCAAAGCAAAGCTGTGCCCTGGAAACTGTTGGGTCTGCAGGTAAGAATGAGTCTCTGCACCTGCTTTCCAGCACAGAGGGAGACAGCATTCTCCGTGCTCACTCCACAGCCTCCTGGAAGGTTGCTGCCCGTGTACTGAATGTTGATTGAGTACCTACCATGATGGCAAGCACCACACATGGTCTTGGGACATGCTGGTAAACCAGACAGGGGCAGACCCGCCTTCCCAGAGCTTACGGTGTGTGGCAGGGGAGGAGGGTGTTCGAGAGTCACGGACATAAGTCGTCAAGTAACAGTTCAGACAAGTACTGCTGTATCAGTTGGCTACTGCTGCATAACGAGCCATCCCAAACCTGGATGGTTTAAAGCAATGTCCATGAATTATTGCTCATGAGTCTAGGGGTTGGCTAGGCTCACTCTTGTGTTTGACCTTGACTGGCATGGCTGGGCCAGCTGGGCCCTCTCTCCATGTCTGTGTGCTCTTGTCCATATCAGAGGCTTGTTCTCGGGGAGGAAGCGGAGAGAAAGCAGGAGTGAGCGGGGGAGAGAGTGGCAGGCGGGTACAGAGAGAGAGAGAGAGAGTTCTTTTGAGACTTCGGCTTGGAATTTGCACACCATCATTCTTACAAATCCTATTGGTCAAAACAAGTCACAAAGCCAAGAATGGGAAAGAGACTGCACCCTTAGATGGGAGGAACTGTAAGGCAATTGGCCAGAGGCATGGATGCAGGGAGGCTATTAAGCAGGGCCATCAATGCCATCCAACCACCACACTCACCTGGTCCAGGTGGTCACTGAGAAAGTGACCATTCTTTTGTAACTTGAAGGATGCAGCCAGGGGAAGAAAATACAACATTCCCTGGAACAGAATATTGCAAGCAAAAGTGCTGAGTCAAAGAGGGCGCTGGGCTAAATGCAACCTGTGTCACCTCTGAGGTGTCCTGGATGGGATTCTGGAACAGAAAAGGGACATTAGTGGAACAACTGGGGAAATCCAGAAAGAGTCTGGACTTGAGCTAATAGTGATGTATCAGTGTTGGCTTCTTCGTCTGACAACTGTACCATGTTCACAAGGGAAGTTGGGTGAGGGATGTATGGGAATGCTCTATTCTCTGTGCAACTTTTCTGTAAATCTAAAATGATTCCAAAATTAAGTTTATCTTTTAAGAAGGCACTTGGCAATGAGAGGAATGGAAAGAACACCGTTGTAGCTGGAGGAGGGCAAGGCTGAGAGGTGCTGGAGATGTGGCAGGAAGCAACCAGGTTGGCCAAGATAAGGACTCCGGCCTCAATCTTTAAGAGCAGAGAGAAGTCTCTACAGGGCTTTAGCAAGAAGTGCCATCAGTTCTATTTGTATTTGAAAAGATCTGGATTCCACCTGCAGGATGGATCCAGAGGGAGATTAGCAGGGGCAGGAAAACCAGTTAACATTCTGCCCCACATTCCAGGTGAGAAAAGGTCTGGGGGCAGGGGCGGGGGAGGAGGGAAGTGGATATAGTGCAGGATGTATTTAGGAAGCGGAGCACCCAGGACTTGGCCACTGAATGTGGTCGGGGAGATGGAGCATGGTGCCCACGAGCAGGTCTGGGACCACTGGTGGAGCTAGGGAGCCCAGTTAAGGAACACCTAGGTCTGTACAGAGTCCTAAGGGGGGAAGCTGTCTTCTTCACAAGTCACCAATCCAAGTGTCCCCTGAGCCACCTTCTATCACCTGCGCTGTGTCACCTACACGAGTTGCCCAAACATACTGCTTATGTTACTGTCCCCTGAGCATGTCATCAGTGTAGCAATGGCCTAAACATGTCACCTGTGTTGCTGTCACCTAAACACCTCTGCGTGTATCACCCACATGGCAGTTACCTGCACGTTTCCACCTGGGTGCCAACCCTGTCACCATTACCTCATTACATCACCTGGGTGGCTATCAGCTACACGTGTCTCCTGAGCCTGTTTCTGTAGGGGGGCATGTCGCCTGCGCACATGTCACCTGCACAAGTCACTTACCGTATAACTGATACCTACGACTGTCACCTAAATATGTCACTCTAGGCGACTGTCACTCAGCAACAGTGCCCGGTAGAGGGCCTGTTTTTCCAGTCTAGCTGAGTTACAAGCAAAGAAAATAGCTCCTGAGGGGAGCCAGTCCCCTGCTGTTCCCACTGACAGGGTGCTCCCCTGAGGGTGGGGAAGGGAGGAAAGCAGCCTCTTCCCCCACAAAGTTTCCCTGATGAAAATCTCCCGTTCTCCCAGTCCTTTTATGACAGTCGGTAGACCAGATGTCAACCTCCGCGTATTCTATGTAAATGAAGGTGTTTGTTTATGCTAATGTGTGCTGGCTCTGCTCTGAGCCAGCAGCAGTAGAACCCAGGCTGAGAGCCCAGGTGTGGGGAGCACTGAGTCAGGAGGGAGGTGGGGGGCACCGAGTCAGGAGGGAACGGAGCTGGGCGACAAAGATGGGGGCAGTGGACATGAGAAAAGAGAGTGAATCTGAGGTTGGAGAGCACAGCAGAAGCTAATGGGAGGGGGTGGCTTAGCTGAGTAGAGAGCCAACGTATCCATGAGGAGGTGGGAACAGAGAGCTAGATCGAAGGAACCTCCCTCCTCGGGGTGGCAGGGTGGGACGCACACCCAGAGCCTGTGCCCTTCACCACCGCCCTCTCCTTCCCCTACTGCGTGCGCTCTCTGATCGGAATAAAGGGCCGGTGTGGTGGACAGGGCTTCATGACCGTGACTGTGACTGTGAGTTCTTCCTGTTTTGTGCTGCAGTGTTACAACAGGAGACCCAAACACAGAGACCCCACTGCCTCTAAGTTGTGGCCAGAAGAGGCTCCCCTTTGGCAACGTGATTAGGCCCAGAGAAGGTTGGAACTTGCCAGAGGACCCAGAGATTTCCCTGATGCAGCAGTGGCCTGGCCTCCATCCCTCCGGGCCACAGCTCCTTCCTGAGGACCCCAGGCAGAACCAGCTGCTCCCTGCTTTGTGCTCGGAAAGGCTCACCCTTTGAAGGATTGGGAGTGCTGATCCGCTGGGACAGGGGCTCCTCGGAGATGAGAAGTTTACTGTTTCTTCTCAAGCCCCCAAGGCTGGACCCAAAGGGACAGCAAGGCAGTTGCCTAAAGGGGAATTTAAATTCCCATCCTGGCTCTTATTAGCCATATTGGTGGTGGTGGGTGGGGGGACGTCTGTGCCCCCTCTAGAGCCTCAGTTTCCATGTTTAGGAGGTGGGGATAGTGATCCGATGTGTAGGGCAGAATGAGGTGACACACTAGGGCACAGCTTTGAGCCTGTGCCCCACATCAGGTGCCTCTTACCCCGGTCATACCCGGGGTCCTCTAGGTGCGGGCACCGTTACCATCTGCAGCTCACGGGAACTGAAAGGAGCGCAGACATAACTCCGGTTGGACTCACAGCCCCCACATCTTCACCCCCTGAAGCATCGCACACAGGGCCTTGCATTCAGTCGGTGCTCCATAAATGTTGCTGCCCGCCCCCTCCCACCATAGCACGGGAGCATGTAGTCGATCTAGAATCATCTGTTGAACAAAGGCTGAACAGTGGGGCTTGGAGGTTGTTTTCAGGGTGATGGGGGGACTGCGCCTTCCAGGGCCCTATGAAGGGCTTTCATCCCGCCCCTCTGCTTCCCCCCAGGCTGCCCGAGGTCCGCGTCTCAGACAACGGTCCCTACGAATGCCACGTGGGCATCTACGACCGTGCCACAAGAGAGAAGGTGGTCCTGGCATCGGGCAACATCTTCCTCAATGTCATGGGTGAGTGCAGGGCCCCTGACCCCAGGGCCCCAGGGTGGAGCTGTGTGCGTGTGGGTGCGCCATGCACAGAGGAGCTGTCTTGGGAACCACCCGCCAAAATGTCTGCTGGGAGGCCATGAACCCTCTTCTTTCCCACTCTTACCTCCAAGGAGGGAGGAGACTGGCCCTGCCGAGGTAGGACAGTTGTGGCCTTACCACTCAAGGATTTCCTCCCAGGAAGCCCTTCTCCTCCCAGCACTGATACCTAACCTCGGGAAGGCAGAGCCTGGCCTTGCCTCTGGATCCTCATGGCCTGGGCACTTTGGAGGGGCTCTGACACCTTGACTGGGACAAATGAGCTGACAGAGGAATGAGGGCTTCCCAGGGGGGCAGCAGACCTCAGTGTCCACCTCTGTAAGGCAGGGGTGGGATGCAGGACCCCCAGCTCTGGGTCCTGTGACCCAGTGAGGACACAGGGAGGGAGGTGCTGGGCAGTACGGAGGCGGCCGTGGGAGCACCTTTCCAGGCTGAAGCCAAGAGGCACGTTCATAGAAGTGCCGGTGGGAACAGTGCAGTGGAGGGGGGGGGCGGGGGGGGCAGGACAATCTGGGAGCCTCCCTGGGGGAGGTGATGCATATGGGCTGCAGAGAGTGATTCTGACCCTGAATCTCCCCCGGCCTTTCCTGGGACGTGGAAGCATCAAGTGATCGGTAAGAACGTGCACTGGACTCGGTGTCAGAGCGTCCTGGGGTCTGACCCTGTGTCTGTGCCTCCATTTCTCCAACTGCAAGGTGGGGATAGTAATGCTAGTCCCTGTCTCTGGCTGGGTGTGTCCCCGCCCCAGCCTCGGTTTCTCCATTTGTCAAACAAGGGCCTTGCCCCCAGCGGTCTCAGCAGCCTCTGTCGGTGCTGACGTTCTCCTCAGGCACATTCTCCAATTCTGCTGCCAGAATTCTAGGGCCTTGGCCCCGACTCCGGCTCCAGCGTTCTCTGATTTTCTTATCAAATGATATTTACCAGGGAAACAAAGCTTGTCGTAGTCAGGCAATCAATGAAAGCATAAAGGCCCCATGGAAAGCCACCGCTTCTAGGGAAATTGAAAACCTCCAAAGGCCAGACCTCCGGAGGGACATTGATTCCCGCAGTGGGAGCACATGGTGTGTTCTGGCTTCGTGGCTTCCTGGGGGATGGGCCGCGGCGGGGAGGTGGCTGTGCCAGGAAAACCCCTCTCTTGCAGTCCTGCCCTCACTGAAGGAGCCTTGTTGGTGCCGGGCCCTGGGCTGGTCAGCCCAGGGAATCTGGTGAAGAACGAAACTCAGTGTGCACCATCGAGGGGCTCCGAGTCTGATGAGGGGCATGTACATAATCATCCATCCGTCAGATATTTCTTGAGCACCTACTATGCGCTAGGTAATGGACACACTCCTTCAATAGGACAAGGTTCTTGGGCAGTTGTATCCAGTGCATGAGCCAAGCATAAAACATGCGTAGATGCCTAAGAGAGAACTGTGGACGGTGCCAAACCTTGGGCAGAAAATCAGACAAGTAATAGGATAGAGTGGCTGCAGGTGGGGTGGCAGCTAGTTTAGGGGGAGGACCCAAGGAGGGTCCCCTGGAGGCTTCTGGCTGTGCTCTCCATGTTATGTCATTCAGTCCTCACAACCCACCCGAGGGGAGGCACTAGTATTATTGGTCCCTTTCTGCAGACACAGATATGGAGGGACGGAGAAAGCAAGCAGCCTACCTAAGGTCACACAGCCAGGATCAAGAAATCGTCCTGTGACGGCAGTCCAGTTTGGGGGCCGGAAGCCAGTCATCTTGCCTCTCACACTGGCTGTTGCACCCCTGGAAACCGTAGGGACACTCCAGCTGAGGCTTCTCTCTATGTGAGCAAGGACAGAGTCCTCAAAAGCCCCCTCCTCCAGGAGGCCCGCACTTTCCTTAATTCACCAAAGCTCCCTGAGCAGGTTGCTCTCCCTCCATGGCCTGTCTTCTCCTCCACACATCAGGAGGACGTGTAACCAGATGCTCCTAAGCCCCCTCCTAACTCTGACATCTGTTAAGTCCGTCATCCCACCTGCTAAGCAAGGAACCTAAGGTGCAGAGAGATCTTTTGGGACACACCAGAACTGCTCAGCTGGCCTGATGGTCCTGGCTGAGCAAGGCAGGGTGCTCCTGGCAGGTGTGGCTTCTCTCTAGGCCCCTGGCATGGCCGGTGGAGACTTTTCTCCTCCGGTCTCGCTGTCTGGGCAGCAAGGAATTGTGAACCTCTGGGCTCCTGCCGACAGAAGGTGGCAGCCATGTGGGATGGGGCAGACAGCTGGTAGCCGATGAGATCCCAGTTACTGAGCAGGAGGCTGAGGCTGTTGGGGAGACCGGGGAGGGGCAGGACCGCCCAGTGGCCCCAGACTCAGGGAACGGCTCTGACCTCTGGAAATTCAGGGTATCCGTGGGTAGGATTCTTACTGAAATAGCACTCACCCACCTTGGTCGATCCTCTGACGGACCCACTGCATAGAGGTCATTGTGCTTGCTATTGGTGATCCTGGCCCAGCTGTTTCCTGATGGGGCAGGTCCCCCCAGGCTCGCTAAGGCTGTAGCTGAGCCGACAACACAGCCACTGTCCGTCCCCAGCCTGTGCCTACAATGCATGAGCTTCTGGCTTCATGTGCATTATCTTACGGAATCCTGGCGACAGCCCTGTGAGCCGGGAGATGTTATAATCCCGGTTATACAACATTAGGACACACAGGTTTTAGGCTGAATCCCAGATCCATTATTGTGTTCATTAGCCTCTCTGGCCCTCAGTTTTCCATCTATAAAATAGGGACAAGGGTGGCTACCCCCTAGAGTAGTTGTAAGGTTTTGGGGTTTTTTTGTTTTTTTTTTTTTTGATTTAAAGAAGTTTGCAGGGCTCCTGGGTGGCTCAGTCAGTTAGGGTGTCCAACTCTGAGCTTTGGCTCAGGTCATGATCTCAGGGTTGTGGGAGCCTCGAATCCGGCTCTGTGCTCAGCAGTGAGTCTGCTGGAGATTCTCTCCCTCTGCCCCACCCCCTTGCACTCTCTCTCTCTAAAATAATAAATAAATAAATCTTTAAATGAATGAATGAATGAATGAATGATGTTTGCAAAGCACCTAGCCCAGATGAGGTGGCCAAGAGGTTCCACAGGCTGAGACCACACTGCACCTGTCACCCAGACCCAGGCTCGGAGAAGGAAGTGGCTCGGGCAAGGAGGGGCCATTCAATGAGATGATCCCCAGGACAGAGTGCCCTGAGCCCAGCGCCCGGCACCTTCCGAGTGCTCAGTAAATAGCATGTCTCACAACAAATAGGGATCATGTCGGTTACACATCGGGCTCAATTAGAAAGACTTGAAAATTGGGTGACTCTGCCTTCCCCTCCCTGACCCACCCCTTTAAGTATATTTCAGGGCAGGTGTCGAGCACTACAGTCGACTCCTTGCCTTAGCCGGTGACATGGCATAGACCCTCGTCACACACACACTCACACATGCATGCGCACCCACCAACACCCTCCCTCCAAGTGAGTGGAGGCCACTGAAAGCTGGGGTTTCCTTTGAGCGACAACAGACCCTAAGGACCATGACCATCAACAGTGGGGCAAGATAGCCCTCTCCTCGATTTGGGGATCAAGGGAAGCTTCCTAGGACGGTTGGGGGGGGGAAGAGAGACGAGGAACAGGGCCCATCCCACGGCCCCGCACGCATCCCAAGCACAGAGCGATTGTGCGGGAGAGGCCGGCCTCCCATCTGCCGCCACTGCATCTGCATCCAGCACATTCTACCGTGCTGTTTCCACAGGCCTCGGGGTGCAGATCAAAATGTGAGAGCGGCTCTAATTTCACGCCTATAACATCCCCGCTATGTGGTGGGAAAAGACATTTGGGAGCCCCGTGGGTGACACTGAGGGTTTGTGCCGCACACAGTCATTAAAATGTTTTTATCCAAGCTGCAGATAAATTGTAAGCCAATTTGAAAGTTGCGTGCTGGGCCCCAGGAACACATTATACACAGTCACGGAAGGAAGCCCCTTCTTGGGGGCGCAGGTTATGCGGGGGAGCACGTTAAGGGTGCGATGTTACAATCAATTAAATGTGAGCCCAGACACCCGCACCTCTGCCAAAGCCGAAAGACGCTGCTCTCCTGGTTCTGCCAGAAGACCAAGAGGCAAGGTGTCTCTGCCACCCTTGCCGTACAGACCTGCCACCGAGGGGACCCTTTCAACCCTCAGCAAATAATCAAGGCCACTTTCCATCAGGCTGTGTGGCCGGCCCTGTGCGCTGAGCATCCAGCGCACTGTTGATCATATGACCTTCACGAATGTCCCCTGAGATATAGGCACTGTCATCCTATTTCACAGATGAGGGAAGGGGGTCTAAGGGTTTAAGGGGCTCCCCCACGTGAGAGCTGGGGGGCTCTCCAGGTCTGCCCAAGCCCAGAGCTGGTGCACCTAACAGAATCTCTGAGCTCCCAAGGGACACGTCTCCACCTTTGACACAAAGGCTATTAATACTGCAAAGGTCAAGCGAGCATGGGGGTGAAGGGGGTGTTGTGCAGAGCTGAGACAGCAGGGGCCTCCGTGGGACCGAGCCCCGGGCCAGGAACACTTGGCACTCAAAAATTCAGACGGTTCCTGTGCCCCAGGCTCCATGGGGGCTGCTCATCCACTTTGACCTCGGGCCCCTCACTATTCAAACCCTCTGAAAGGAGCACCTGCCTTGGGGTCCAGCAGACCTGAGTCCAAATCCAGGTCAGTGTCCGCTTGTGACATGGACAGTCCAGTACCGAACTTTTTTTCTGGTAAAAACAACATCAGAATGGTTTTTTATTAAAATGGATTAGAAGGTCACTTGGATGTCCACATGCAGGCATTCTGAATCTCTTTCATTCATTCATCCGTCCTTCGTTTGTTCATTTATGTAACAGACATTTATTGAGCATCTAGTACATTCCAGGCGCTGTTGTAGGTACTGGAATTCAGCTTCAGTAATGAGCCAGACA